GTTTACTTTGTATTTCACTAACTTCTGCTCCTATATTTATTACTTTATTTCTATCCTCTTTATGTTTATTTTGCTGTTTCTTTTTCCAGTTATTGAGATGGAAATTTGAATTGTTGATTTTCAGACTTCTACATCAACAATTTTTCTTTCAACTACTGAGCAAAGTGTTCTAAAATTTCCTCCTGTGATTATGGGTTTATCTATTTCTTATTTTAGGTGTCAATTTTTGTTTAATATATTGAGGTTATACTATTAGGTACATACAAATTTAAATTTATTTTTATTGTGAATCTAGCCTTATATCATTATGAACTGGCTCTTAAAGAATACATAAGTAATTATGAACAGACTGTTGATAGAAATATGGAGGTAAAAGCCTTTCTGATGTAGTCTCAGACGTAAATGAGGAGTGTTATTGGATGACGGGGGAACGGCTATCCTTATTTTACAGTGGCAAATAACTTGACTGAATTGTGTTTGTGTCCTAGTGTTTTGTGGAAGGTAGGACTTGCAAGGGATTAACTGGATATTTTGCTGAGGAGATTTCTAAGCAAAGTGATGAAGAAGTGACTTGGTTCTTCCCAGTTGCTTGTAGTAAAATGCAAGAAGAGGGAAATGAATTGAAAAAGGAATTGTTAAGCAAAAAGGAACCAGAGTTTAAAAATTTGGAAAATTCTCAGTCTGTTCATATCACAAAAAATGAGAAAGTGGGTACTGAAGAGAACACTAAGGGTGTGGTGGACCAACCGTTTCATAAAGAGATGAGTGTGGCTGTGTACCATGAACTTAATCAGCCATTTCAACAGAGGCCAAGAATACAGATGGGATTACGCCTGCAGAGACACTGCTAGCTGGGACTGAAGAAAAAAACAGAACATGGGATGGAATGAAGGAAGGCCGTGAATTTGTGCTGTCCTCTAGGAAAAGGGATGAAGGACCCTGAGGCAATTTGGAGGTCCTCTGCCTCCAATTTGGAGGACCACTGCCTTGGTTTCAATAGTCCAGACAACCTCCAGCCAAAGACATGGGGGCACAATCTTTGCCTGGCAGAGAAGTTAGGAGTGAAACTTCTGGCCAGGAGAGCTGCTGGGGTAGGACCTTTACCCTAGTGGCTCCGGAAGGCACCAAACCAAGGAGGGCTACTCCCAAGCCTTAAGATTTCATGGAGTTTGCCTTGGAGTTTGGCCTTGCTTGGGACTGGGTCACCCCTTCCTTCTCTGTTTCTTGCTTTTGGAATGGGAATGCCTACCTATGCCTGTCCCACCAATGTATTTTGGAAGCATGCGGCTTCTTTGGTTTCACAGATTTGCAGCTGGAGAGGAATTCTGCCCCAGGATGAATCATACCTCGAGTCTCACCGTACCTAATTTAGATGGTATTTAGAAAAGACTTTGGACTTTAGACGTTAGAGTTGTTGCTAGAATGAGTTAAGACTTTGGGGGATGGAATGAATGTACACATGCTCCTTGACTTAGAACGGGGTTATGTCCCAATAAACCCACTGTAAGTAAAAAAGATCATAAGCAAAAATGCATTCAGGACCCTGATAAACCCATGGTAAAGTCAAAAAATCAGAAGATGCTCTTCAACTTACAGTGGGGTTATTGATTTCCTGATAGACCCATCTCAAAATTTAAAAATTGTAAGTTGAACCATCATATGTTGAGGACCATATGTATTTGGCATATGAGAAGGACATGAATTTTGGGGGCCAGGGGTAGAGTGCTATGGACTGAACTTATGTGTCTCCCTAAAATTCATATGTGATGACCCTAGTTTCTGATATGATGAGGAAACGGATGTTCGCTGTTTAGACCACCCAGTCTATGGTATTCTTTTTATATCAACTTGCACTGACTAAGACAGGCATTTATAAAACACAGTTGCTCTGGCACTAAAAGGAACAAATTATATGCAGCAATAAGGGTGGGTGTTAAAAAATGTTGTGCTGAGTGAAAAATGCCAGACCCTCCCCCAACATATCCTCTACGTAATTCCATTTCTATGAAGTTCTATAATTGGCAGGACAAATCTAATGTATGTGATTGAGATCAGATCAATGGCTGCTTTGGGGGTGTGGGGCGGGAGTCACCGGGAAGGGGTACAGGGAAACTTTCTACGGGATGGACGTACTCTGTATCGTCCTCAGGATATTCATTTGTCAAACCCCATGGAACTCTACAATTAAGACCTGTGCATTTCACTGTATGTAAATGAAACCTCAGTAAATGGGATATGTGATATATATGTGTGTGTGTGTATATACGTGTGTGTGTGTGTGTGTGTATGTATCTGTTCTTCGCCCTACCCCCTTTCCATTCCTGTCCTAAGAAGATAGAAGATCTAGGAAGTAGAGAATGCAGTCCCAGAGAAAGGAAGGCAGTCCCAAGGGTGGCCACAAAAGAAGTCCTAGAATGACCGAGAAGGAGAGTGGCGGGCTCCCGTGGGGACGTCTGCAAGAAAATAGTGGCCGAGATGGATGACTTCATGAGGAAGCTGGAGGATGTTCCTTGTGGGAAGTTGTACCAGGAGATTATTAAAAGGTGTGAGAAAGAAAACTAAGGAAAAAGAAAAGAAAAGCAATCATGAACACAGGGGCCAGAGGCAGTAAGGACAGAGGCATGGTCACAGTGCCCTACAGTGCTCAGTTGGGAGTAATATGTATGTAGGCAGGATAATGTAAACGCTATATGTTATTTAATCCTGCAATTTGTAACATAATTCTATTGAAGGGCTGCTGAGGGAGGGCTCCTTGACCATCATGTGAAGTTAGTAGTTAAAACGGATGAATCAGAAGAGGTCAGGGTGCACACATTACTTACAATCATGAACATGTGAATGCCAGGAAAAAAAATTGCTTAAAAATTATGTGGACTTTAAATTCTATCTACTAGGCCACATTCGTCTTTTCCAGCAACAAAGTTGAACCCTCAAAGGAGGTTCCTAGGGCAGTTTGAAAAGACCCAAAGCTGTTTACTAATGTAGTTTATTAATTGAAGTGGCCCTGGAGTCACACACCACAGGTACCACAATTTGTCATGACATTTGGCCCTCCACGTCCAAGGGTTCCACATACACGGATTCAACAAACCTCAGGTCAAAAGTATTCAAAAAATAAATAATAATAATAAGAAGAATGCAACTATATGACACCGTCCAGCTGCCTGACTGCCTCTTCGCCTCTCCCGCGGGAACTCCAGCGTCTCCTTGGCTCGAAATGGACCCCACGGTTCCAGCACCACTGGCAGCTCCTGCACCTGTGCTGGCTCCTGCAAATGCAAAGAGTGCAAATGCACCTCGTGCAAGAAGAGCTGCTCCTGCTGCCCCGGGGGCTGTGCCAACTGTGCCTAGGGCTGCATCTGCAAAGGGGCGTCGGAGAAATGCAGCTGCTGTGCCTGGTGTGGGGACAGCCCTGCTCCCAGAGGTAAATGAAGCAACATGGGTACAAACCTGGATTTTTTTTTTCATACAACCCTGAGCCATTTGCTACATTCCTTTTTCTATTAAATATGTAAATGACAATAAAACACTTTTGACTTGAAAAAAATAATGCAACAATATGAAGTAATACATATAAAAATACAATGTTAACAACCATATACATAGCGTTTACATTGTTTTAGGTATTTTAAGTCATCTAGAGATGATTTAAAGCATATGGGACAGTGTGTGTGGGCTTTGTGTACGTACTGTGCCACTTTATGGAGGAGACCTGAGCATCTGCTGCTTTTTAGCATCCACGGGGGTCCTGAGACCAATCCCCTGAAGACACTTAAGGTTGGCAGTACTCATTTATTTGTTTACTTGGTTTCAGAAGTTCAGACGAAAACCAGGGAAGCAAAAATTATTGAAGGTAGCTCTGAAGCAAGCAAGAGGGAGAAGCCCTTACCTCTCTGCTGTGGTGGGGCAGGAGTCTCTCTCCTGAAGCCGTTGGCAAGACTAGACCTTTCTCACACATCCCCCACCGCAGCCTCGTTATCAGCCAGTCTGTTCAATACGGTGTTTCCTCAGTTCTCAGATCTTCTGTTCTGAAACCCACCATCAATTTAATAACAGCTTTGCAGCTGACAAGTCTGCTTTGACCTGAATTGCAAAATGCATCTCAATTTCAGAAATATTAATATGTAGAAAACCACGTATCTCTCCACCAAAGAGTCCGTTACAGGACCCTGGCTTGGGTCTTGTTCCACACCTCCCATCCTGGCCTGTTGGTGGGTATTTTTGTACAGCTGAACAGTGAGTCCATGGTGCATTCCCAGAGCCCCCAACAGCTCAAGCCTTCATGCTCTTGGCTATACCAAGTGTTGGCTGCCCACAGCTCTCAGCTGAATTCCTCTCTATGATTTGCTTTCAGCTCAACACAGCCACTTTCCCGAGTTCATGCCCCTTCCCCAGGACAGCTGTGTCCAGTGGGCGATGGGGCAGGGGTGCGAAAGCCCTGCCTGCTGAGGGCTGTTTCCGCGCCAGACCTGCCCTGGGGCTGGCGAAGGCCTCGTGGAGACTGCCTCGCAGCTCAGCTCCTCACTGCCTCATCCTGCCTCTTTCTCTTGCTTCCCAGACGTTGATCCTGAGAGCACCTCAATAAACTTCAGGGGCACATCTCAGGATCAGCCTCCTGAGGTCCCAACTGGGACAAAGTCTCATTTCAGCCTCTTGTCGTTCCCTTCATGCCGCAGGCATTTCAGGGGTTCATGACTGACAACCCCGTCCAGTCTCTGTGCAGACATGAACCCATGACGCCTGGAGCCCTCCCTGACTTCCTAAGGCCCTGGGCTGGTGCTTTTCTGGGCCGGGCCCATCATGAGGCTCCTGACAGATGAGGTGACCATCCCGCTCTGCTGCCGACGTGACATGCGGCTTCTGCAGATTGCTCACGGTCCCTCCGCCTCAGGTCCTCATCTGTCAAACGGGAGGATTCAGGAGGAGGACTGTGGTGAGGCGTTAAGCACAGGCCTGGCACATGGCAGGGGCTCACTCGTTTCTCCTGCCTCCCATTCCAGGTCGTGCAGGATCCCAGTCCTCCACCTGACCCGCTCCTGTCTGAACATCCTGCTGCGAGTCAAGGCAAATGGGCTCAGCCACTGTCCCACCCCAGCGGGCCTGGAGTGGACTCCCCGCGAGCCTGCAGAGGGGCAGGATGCTGAGCGCCGGGGGTCTCACCCAGCCCCAGGGAAGAGGCGGTTTTAGTCAGTGAACCAAGAGGGGATGAAGGGGCGAGCGCAAGCGGCCTCCTGTTCCCTCGGGAACTTGAGGGGGTGTCGGGATGTGCTCCCCTCTCTGCACTCAGCTGGGAAAGAGCCGGTGGAGACTTTTCCCCTCTGAGCAGAGAGAGAATTCTCCTCCCCTCCCCCGCCCCGCCTCCGTCCACTCCCACAGCCACCAGTTCTCTGGGCAACCCTAGTTAGCAGTTTGGGCCTTTCTTTCTGCACACAATTGACGTGGAGGGCCTGAGTCTGGCCCATTCAGACGCCACATGGAACACTCTGTTTTTGTCACCGCGCTCTCATCTTCTAGAAGCATAGCCTCATCCAACAGAAAGAGGCAAAAGCGATCGGGCCTGACCCCTCCCAGGGACAGTGTTTGCACTTCGTTCCATGGCACAGTGTCTTCTGTAACTTTAAGATTTAACATCTCAGATTATTTTCCACCGGGGCTCCCATCGATGCTGAGTTCTGGCTACTTTTTTCCCCTAACGCTGAAAGGTTCGATTCTTCCGTCTATCCATCAACAAATCGCATTGAATGACGCTGCTCAGTGACCCAGGATGCCACTGGAGACAAAACACACTATACATATTTTCTGGTCTCCCTGGAAAATTAGTGCAAACACTTTCATCACTGCGGAGAAGGGAAATATGCGCAGAGCTGTGAAGATCTGCTTTGTTTTTTGTTTTTCTCAGAGGAGATTTCCCTCCTTCACACAGTGAAATTTATATTGTTCTTTGTCTGCAAATTAACCAGTTAAGTAGAATTCCTGTATGTCTGTTTCCCTTTCTGCAAGCCACGGCTCCTCTTTCTCTCCACCCTGTATCCACACATAGTCCAGGGTCACCCCGTCCCCCACAATGCTGCTTGAAATTTCGTTCCATTTTCGTCCTGACTTGTTCAAAGTAACATTGAAAATATTTTAATTCAAACTCCTGTCTCATCAGTCCTTTTTAAGTTCCATTTTAAAGAATCTTTTTTTTCTAAGGAATGGTCTGTTTTTGATTCAGTGGGAAACATGGGCTGCTCAGCCCTTTCTCTCCCCTGTTAAATTTTCACTTTTATGAAGAGATGGGATCTCGCCCTCTGGAAATGGAGCGGGAGGAGACCCAGGAGCTCCGGCCCTCCCTGCAGCCCTGCGTGGTGCTCCCTGTGCAGCCGCTACCCCTGTTCAGTGGAGAGGACAATTAATCTCCTACTACACAGAAGTGGTGCCTGAATGCACCAAGATGAAAATGTTTGTGTACAGGGTGGTCTATTTAAAACAGTTCCCATATGATGCAATGCAGCTTGACAAGGAAACTCTTTCAGATGACTCACCATTTCACAATAACAATTAGCATTTGAGAATCTTGCATAGAACACCCAGCAGAAGAATATTTTATTGATTTCTTAAGAGTTTCCACACGCTGGCTGGGGCTTCAATCAAGACAACCTATTAAAGACTGACGTCCAATTTCATTTGTATGAGTTCACAGTAAGGGAGATCAAGTTTAACAGTGCAAGAGAGAAGGACTTAGGAAATGCAGACTTGAAATTCAGATAAGCCATCAGTGGGACCTAGTTTTTCTAAAAACCAATAAAATGTAGGGATGCATTAATGAAGGCATAATATCTCAAATGAAGGAGGTGATAATCAATCCCATTGTAATCTTTGATGGTCAGGCTATATTTGGAGTACTTTTTAAGTTATAGGCAATGAATTTTAAAATAACCAGAAAGCATCCAAGGAAGACAGTCTAAATAGTGAACACTCTGAAAACTAGATTCTCTAGAAGAACAGGATTCAGAATTACAACTGGATTGCAGTCCTAGCAGTCCCTTACCAGCTGTGAGCTTAGGCAAGTTACTTAATCTTGCCTCAATATCCTCATCTACAAAAAAGATGATAGTAATTTTTAAAAACCCATACCATGGGGTTATTCTGAGGATTGAATATTCATACATAGTTAGTGGCAGAGTGCCTGCCTGGCACACAGCGTGTGCTCAAGAAATATTAGGTATTGTTATGAATGTTGGCAACGAAAACAGTGATTATGATCCCACCTTATGGTGGTGTAGCGTTTTCAGTTTATAAAGTGACTTCATACCATTATGTTTTCTAATGTTCATGTTTAATATGATTTGGTCATTACTATTCTCATTTTTGGAGGAGGAGAACTTTGGGGTCATCTGCCCTGAGAGGGCCTTTCCTTCCTGTTCAGCTGGCTGGGCACCAGCCTCTATGCCACCTCCAGGCAGTCCTCACGGCCTGGGGCGCCTCTGGCCCCCAGCAGCTGACCCTCCTGAGGAGGGGCCAGCCCTGGAGGGAGGACCCCTGACAACGGATTTGGCCATATTTGGCCATCTTTGTGATCACAAAGCTTCCAGTCAGCCTCGCCATTCAAATCTCATCGGTCCATTTATGCAAAAACAAAACATAACAAAAAGTTGTGTGTATGTGTACGCATGTACACATCCATGTTCGAAAAAAAATACACCGCAAGGTTAACCCTGGTACTCGCTACATAATGGATTATAGGTGTTTTTAAATCTTTCTTTCTCAAGTGTATTTTCTAATTAAAAAAATTTTTTTTTCACTATGGATTTATATTGCCTGGGAGTAAAGAACTAAGAAGTGCTTCACAATAGCATGGGGTTGTTGTGACTGGTTCACAGAAACTAACATTAGAAACGCCCACAGTTTCTAAAAGATGATGAATGGGCAGAACCTGCTAGCATCCATCCAATAGCCATTCTGTCCTTCTCCCTAGCCACGGTGATTTTGACAGAGCAGCACTGGGCCCCAAAATTACACACCTTCAGTTGCAGCCAGAGGTGGTCACATAGCCCAGTCCTAATAGATAAGATGAGAGCAGAAGTCACTGAGCGAGCCTTTATTATTTTGTTCTTGTTACAATTTTCTTCTATCATATGCCTGCAGTAATAGGAAGACTTTGTTGTTGTTGCTGTTGTTGTTGTTTTGTTGTTGTTGTTTTTGAGATGAAGTCTCACTGTCACCCAGGCTGGAGTGCAGGGGTATGATCTCTGCTCACTGCAACCTCCACTACCTATATTCAAGCGATTCTCCTGCCTCTGCCTCCCGAGTAGCTGGGATTACAGGTGCCCGCCACCACACCCAGCTAATTTTTTGTATTTTTAGTATAGACAGGGTTTCACCATGTTGGCCAGGCTGGTCTCGAACTCCTGACCTCAAGTGATCGCCCATCTCAGCTTCCCAAAGTGCTGAGATTACAGGCATGAGCCACCACACCTGGCCCAGGAATAGGAAGACTTTGTATGAAGCATGAATTGCAGCATTTTTTTTTCTACCTAAGAAAACGTTACAGCCCAGGCACGGTGGCTCACGCCTATAATCCCAACAGTTTGGAAAGCTGAGGCGGGCAAATCGCCTGAGGTCAGGAGTTTGAGACCAGCAAGGTGAAACCCTGTCTCTATTAAAAATCCAAAATTAGCCTGGCATAGTGATGCATGCCTGTAATCCCAGCTACTGGGGAGGCCGAGGCAGGAGAATCAGTTAACCGAGGAGGCAGAGGTTGCAGTGAACCGAGATCATGCCATTGCACTCCAGCCTGGACAACAAGAATGAAACTCCGTCTCAAAAAAAAAAAAGAAAGAGAGAGAGAGAAAAGAAAGAAGAAAGGGAGGAAATGAAAGAAGAAAGGAAGGGAGGGAGGAAGGAAGGAAGGAAAGAAAGAAGGAAGGAAGAAAGAGAGAGACAGAAAGAGAAAGAAAGAAAGAAAGAAAGAAAGAAAGAAAGAAAGAAAGAGAGAAAGAAAGAAAGAAAAAGAAAGAAGGAAAAGAAAGAGAAAGGAAGGAAGGAAGAAAGAAAGAAAAAGAAAAAGAAAGAAAGAAAGAGAGAAAGAGAAAAGAAAGGAAACATTACTGCAGAACTGTAGATCATGCAAACCAGGTGGGAAACACCTAGGACAGCTTGGGGGCAGGATCCTTAAGAAGGTGCAGCACCCCTTTGCACTCCTCACAAAAATGTGGGGTTGTGGTTGGATTCCAAATTTGGAGGTCTTTTCAGTTGCTCTAGACCAAGCAATAGAATTAGACCAAGGAAAGGGAGGCAAGTGAGGTGTGAGTCTTTTCCTCTCCTGAGTTTGGTAATTCTGAATGTCACAAAGGTCCTTTGTTTAAGAATCCTGCATGTTCCAAGCAATTCCTGGAATTTCTTAAATGGCTTCCATTTTCCTGGAGGAGAAGCTCGTAATGGTCTGCTTGGCTCTCTGCCTTTATAGCCTCTACTGGAGCCACTTAACCCGCAATTTGTAGGTTCAGCTGTACCCCCAGCCCTAAGGCCACCCCTGTCCCCAGGCAAGGGAAGATAAGTTCAACCCAGCCTGCCCTGCCTCTGTCCTCTCTGGTCACCTGGCTCTTCTACAAAAAGCAAAGATTCCCCCTTAGTCTCTGGTAGAGATGCACATTTACTCCTGGGTAGAAGTTAAAAAAACAAAACATGTATTTATTTTTTTTAATCCGCTTGGAAATATAAACAAAGGTGAAATCTTATAAAATAAACTGTTCCAAAAACACTCGTCCAAGTATCAGCACTCCTAGGTGGTCAAGCCGTTTAATGCATGGGGACCTTCTGCGTCCAAGTGGTCACAGGAGGCTTACCAGATCCTTTAGGATTTATTCTAATTTTCCAGGAAACATCCCATTTAAAGGGAGAAAAAAAAAAAAAAAAAAACCACACTCACAAAGTTTCCCATGAAGCCTCCATTATACAACTCTTAACAGAGAGACTCTTCCTTTAAAAACGTGCACATTTTCATACTATCCCGTTTTTATTCACACTGGTCAAAACTGTGCTAGTTTTTAACTTAAGGAAAGTAATTTGATGAAATTTAACAGCCCTAATGAACTAAGCGGAAGAAAATGCAGAAGGGCTTTAACAACAGCAAACCTATTGAGACGAAAGACCCTATACATTGTTCTCCTGACAGACTTACTAGCAGGCAAACCAGATGTAGGTTGCCAAGGGAAGTACAGCTTGTAAATTGTAAGAAAGGCGTGTACTGCCAGGCTCTGCTGGGCTCTGTTATTTCTTCATTAAAATGCACTGTCAATCAGGTTGAAAAGAAATGTCTAATTAACACCATAGGGCACCAAAAATGTAGCGTCAGAAACTCAGCTGCTATCCCTCTTTACAACTGTATCTCTCTGAGCAACTCCAGTCCTCTTTCTCCCCTTTCCCCACGCCATTGCCCCTCCCCCATATCCTACTTGCTTATGATTAAAAGCATCAGAGAAATTGCAAAAGGCATTGCATTACACAATTCCTTCTTTATAGTTGTGAACCCGCTAGAACTAAGGTTTCCCGCAACTTCATTTCTTTTTATGCCCTGTATCCCTGCAAGGACCCAAAGACAATGAAACATAATGAAAACCAACAGGTTCCATCCTGTTCAAGATGTGGAAGAAGGAGAGGTCTAACCTGGAGTAGCCTAGTCCAGGCTCCCGACTCCCTAGCCTTTTTGACTTTGGGGATGTCCCTTCACGCTGATGAGCCTCAGGTTTACCACTCAGAAAACAGGTGAGGACGAAGGACTCAGCCACCTACTTCAAGGATCCACTGAGGCAGGGTGTGTAAAAGGGCTTCGTAATATTTAATGCACTATTACTGTGACCCCAGTCTCAGAAGGGCTGGGCGGAGTCCATATTTTTGTTAATAGGAGGCTGATTGCATTCTGGTGCTTCTTGAAGGGTCAGGGACCCCCAGGTCTCCCCAGGGCATAGTGGCTGAGTGGAAGCTGATGATGAACCCAGGGATTTGGGTTTGGGAACGTTCCAGGAGAAGAGAACACAAGATATTAGAGACTGTAAGGCTTACAGCGGAATCCTCCCCCACTCCGTTGCCATCTAGGCACCCAATACTGTTGATTTCTCCATTGTGATGCCTTCTCCACCTCCACACACTCTTTCCACTCTCTTCACACTGGCACTGGCACTCCTGCCACGGGAGTTGTGATT